CGGGTGGGAAAGCGGGGCCTCGCCCCTTCCTCACCCCTCCTCACCCCTCCTCACTACCCCCCCTCCAACCCCGCACCTTGCAGCTGCTGGAGGAGCACACAGAGCGGGCGCCCCGCATCAGCCAGGAGTTCGGGGAGCGGATGGCCCACTGCTGCCTGGGGGGGCTGGCAGAATTCCTGCAGAGGTATGAGGGGCTGGGGGCAGGGCGCAGGTTGGGGGGTGCATAAGAGTCCGGGATGCAACAGAGGGAGGGGAGAGATGAAAGGGAAGAACCAGGCAGGATGGGCAGGGATGCCTCAGTGGGGATCACAGGCTTTGCTGGGCTCAGTGCCCGCAAGGGACCCTAATCCAGCAGTGTTCCATCTGTCATCTGTCATCTGGCCCCCTCTCCTCCCACCCCCTCTCCCCAGCTTCCAGCAGCGCGTGGAGCGGTTCCATGAGAGCCCAGGAGTCCGGGAGCTGCCACCCGAGACCTATATCAGCAGGACCATCTCCCTGGTCAACTGCGGGCCCCCCCTGAGGTGAGAGCACCCACAGTGTGCGGGGAAGAGGCCGTCCCCGGGGGACGAGCTGCACTGCATGCCCAGATCCTGGAGAGGCAGGGGCATGGGCCCTAGAAACATAAAACCTGGGACTCCTGGAAGTGACCAGGGTTAGGCATCATCAACCCCGGAGTGCTGGGATTCCAGAACCCGCTCTAAGAATTTCAGGCTTTTGTTTACCTTCTTCTCGTACTTCCCTTTTTCATTAACCTAAAACAGGGAAAATCTGCTATGCCCACCGCATTCTCCCCCCACCCCCACTTAGAGGCAACTAGTTATTCCTAGTATCTCCATATCTTTGCAGAGATAGTTCATATATTTACCAGTGAACAGATATAAATTAATGTGTATGTGCATATATACTGTATACACGTCATACATATGCGTATATGCATATGCACATCTCCTACCGTATACATGCAAATATATTTAAATATATGCATACCTATTCCTTTTCCTTTACAGTGGTTCTCAGCCTTCTGGCCCTGTACATACAGTTCCTCGTGTTGTGACCCAACCATAAAATTACTTTCGTTGCTACTTCATCACTGTCATGCTGCTACTGTTATGAATCGTCATGTAAATGTCTGATATGCAGGATGGTCTTAGGCGACCCCTGTGAAAGGGTCGCTCGCCCGCCAAAGGGGTCGCGACCCACAGGCTGAGAACCGCTGCTTTAAGAACATGTAAATGGTCGTATAGAAAACACACCCTGCCCCTTTAACAGCTTGGAGATCTTTCTGTTCGTTCACAAAGAATTCCCACATGCCTTGTTCATATCTGAACTGTACCCCACTTCTTGGGTGTGCCCGCCTTTATTTGATGTGTCCCCACTGGGGGGATAGTTGGCTCCACTCTTTTTTTTTTTTTTTTTCATTTCAGAGAGAGGAAGGGAGAGAGAGAGAAACATCAGTTGCCTCCTGCATGTGCCCTGATTGTGGGGGGGAGGAGGATCAAACCCGAAACCTGGGTATGTGCCCTGACCAGGAATCGAACCTGCCACCTTTTGGTATGGACGACGCCCCAACCAACTGAGCCACCGGCCAGGGCTGGCCCCACTCTTTTGCAGAGAAAAACCTGGCACATTTGTCAACTCCTATGAGCACAGGGACTCAAGGATTCCCTGGGATTTGGGCAGAGAGTGCCAAACTGCCCCCAGGCCTCCCCTCGGCTTTGGAGGGTCACAGACTGCTACGATGTCAGAAAGTGAGCCCTAGCCAGTTTGGCTCAGTGGATAGAGCGTTGGCCTGCGGACTGAAGGGTCCCTGGTTCAATTCCGGTCACGGGCACATGCCCCGGTGACGGGCTTGATCCCCAGTAGTGGGTGTGCAGGACGCAGCAGATCTATGATTCATCGATGTTTCTCTCCCTCTCTCTCCCTCTCTGAAATCAATAAAAAAATAAATTTTAAAAAAAGTGAGAGGGTGGAATTTGAGAACCATAGATGTTTAGCATCACAAGCTTTGAGAATGGAGACCTCCCCACTCTCACCGTGAGGAACAGACCCAGAGAGACTCCTTTCCTCCCACAGCACCCCCTGGGCCCCCATTCTTTCCACAGAGCTCCCCGGTTCCCCAGCCTCCAGATAGCCCCTACTATCTCCCAGCCCCCAGGCCCTCCCCAGAGCCCCTGACTCTCCCCAGCACCTCATCTTTCATCCCTGTGTCCCACAAAATAAGGTCTATTTAAGGAGGCAGTTGGGCTGAATGGTGGGGCTCCTGACCGCTGGCTTCACTGATCCCCACAGGGCTCTGGCGGAGCGCCTGGCCCGGGTGGGGCCCCCTGAAAGTGAGCCTGCCCGGGAAGCCGCAGCCAGCGCGCTGGACCGCGTGACCCGGCTCTGCCACCGGGTGCTGGCCGACCTCCTGTTCCAGGAGCTGCAGGTGAGCGAGGTGGAGGGCTGGGTGGGGCCCTGGCCGGACAGGGGAGCACACCTCCCCCTCATCCCCGGTTCCTTTCAGCCCATGACTCAGTGTTTGGGAAGCAGGCGGGGGAGGGGTGGGGGTGATGGCCATGTCTGGGCCATTTGGGGGACAGAGGGGATACAGGAAGGAAGAGGTGGGAGGATATGTTTAAGATGAGAACAGAGAGCCCTCGCCGGTTTGGCTCAGTGGGTAGAGCGTTGACCTGCGGAACGAAGGGGCCCAGGTTCCATTCTGGTCAAGGGCACTGCCTTGGTTGCAGGCTCAATCCCTGGCCCTGATAGGGACACATGCAGTAGGCAACCAATCACTGAATCTCTCTCACATCTCTCTCTCTCTCTCTCTCTCTCTCTCTCTCTCTCTCTCTCCACCCTCTCTCTCTCCCACCTTCTCTCTCTCTCACTCTCCCATCCATTCTCTCCTCAGGTGAGGATTAACAAACAAAAGACCAGTAGGAGGGGCCTTGGGGGTTGGGTGGAGCCCCTCCTCCCCCCCAGGTCCCCCACATGCCTGCCCAGCCTGCCCTAGACCCTAGAACCCCTTGTCTGGGCTCCTGTGTGGAGGGGACTGGGTTCAGAGGTGGGTGAGAGGATGTGGGGAGCTGGTGGGAATGAGGCTGAGGCGTGTGGTGGAGGCGCATGATGGCAATGCCTGTTCCATCTGATGAGCATGTCCCTCCTCTGTTCAGAAGCCCCCAGAGCTCCCAGCTCACGCAGGACAAAAGCCGAGTCCTTGCTCTGACAGCCAAACCCTGCACAGTCTCTCCCTGTCCTCCCTGATCTCACCTGCCCCGCGCTCCCCCTGACTCCGCTCCAGCCACACCACCCACTGCTGCTCCCGGACAGTCAGACCTGTGCACTGCCCACTCCCTTCACTGGGCCACTCTTCCCTCCAGTGGCCACATAGCTCCCTCTCTCACCTCTTTTGACGTCTTGACTCGGATGTCACCTTCTCAGGGAGACCTCCTTGACTGTCCTGTTTAAAACAGACTCCCGCCCTGGCTGGGTGGTTCAGTGGGTAGCCCAGCTGGTTGGTGCATCATCCCAATACGCCAAGGTTCAATGCCTGGTCAGGGCACATACAAGAATCAACCAACCAGTGTATCTCTCTCTTTCTCTCTCTCTCTCTCTCTCTCTCTCTCTCTCTCTCTCTCCTCAATAAATAAAAATAAAATCCCTTCCTCACTTCTTTTTTTTTTTAATTTTATTTATTTATTTTTATTATTTTTAAATCCTCACCTAAGGATATTTTTCCATTGATCTTAGAGAGAGTGGAAGAGAGAGGGAAAGGCAGAGAGAAATATTGATGTGAGAGAAACATATTGGTTAGTTGCTTCCTGCACAGGCCCTGACCAGGGTCCAGGCCGGGGAGAAGCCCACAACCTGGGCATGTGCCCTTGACCAGAATCAAACCCGGGACCCTTCAGTCTGCAGGCCGACACTATCCACTGAGCCAAACGGGCTAGGGCTCCCTTCCTCACGCTTGCTCTATTGGTCACCAAAGCACCTACGGCCACCTACCATGCTGTATCTTTTGGTTTTGTTTTGTTTTGTTTTTTATCTGTCTCTTCCCACTGGAATGCTAGTTTCTCAAGAGCGAGGATTTGTTGGAATGTTTCTCAAATAACTGCTTATTACGGAAAATTTCAAACATACACAAAACTAGGCAGAATGACAGAATGACCTCCTGCGGACCCATCTCCCAGCTCCAGCAAGTCAGCCCGGGGCCAGGCGTGTTTATCTCCCGCCGCCTCCTGTCCTGGCTCCTCTTCCCGCAGACCCTTGACATCTGTCACCATCCATCAGCCCCCAGCTGCATCTCCAGGAGATAAGGCGTCCTCGCCAAACAAACAGAACCACAAAACCAGCTTATCCCCGGCACAAAGAACAATAACTCCCATGTCGTCCGATGCCACACGCTTTGACCTGCTTATGATGATCAAGTGTGTGTTTGTCTCCTGCTCTGTGTCCCCAGTGAGCCACCCAGGGCTGGGCCCACAGGAAGGCTGAGAGGGTTCGCTGAGTGACTAAATGAATCAGTATGTGAATGGGAGTGCGTGTGGGGATGCTGGGAAGAGGAGATAGTCTTTGCTCCAGGACCCGCTACTCGCTTGCAGGCAGGGGGGCATCGGCTAAATTGCTGGTCCTCTCAGGGCCGCTGTTTAGACAGAGGGACAGGAGTTCCCGGCTTCCCAGGGGCTGCGAGGAAGCAATGGGACTGTGGCCACCAGAGCTTGGCTCGGGTCCGGCCCATGGCATTGGCCATCGTTATTTTCATGAAAGTACAGACTTCGTAGCAACAGTGACATGTACCGTTCACACCAGCTTTTCAACAAAAGCCCACAGGCCCCATTTCTGGAGGTTCAGAAAACTGGGCTGCTGTCAGGATGAGAGAGCAGAAAGGGGGTGCAGGGCCGAGTGGGATAGGGACCTGCTTCAGACCCCCGTGGACACTCACCCCCCATCTCCTGGGTCTCACCCAGAAGCCTCCCCCCCCACACCGCCCCATGGTCATTCACTGCATCGTGTGCTCATATCACCTTCCGTTCTTTCCATCGCCCCCCCTTTCTTCCTTCCAGGCTCCCCCCAGATTTCTGCCTCAATCTTGCTCCTTCCTATCAATCTCGGTAAAACACAAATCTGGCCCTCTCCCCCTTCTGCTCAGAACCTGCTATGGCTCCCCGGTGCCCCCAGGAGAAAGCTGGGGTTTCTCACACAGCGGAGGAGGCCCTGTGTGCTCTGCCCCTCCCCCTGACCCGCTGTCCTACCACAGTGGTGGCCCTGTGAGCTGAGCGGTAGGTAGCACAGGGCCCCACTGCTTACAAGGGCCTGAGTGTGGTTTCATTCTCTGCTGTCTCTGTCTTGAAGTTCTTAGTAAGTCTTGAATAAGGGTCTCCCACTTCCATCTGCACTGGGCCCTGAGAATTGCATCGCTGGTCTTGCCAGTCGCACCCGATCTGCTTTCTGGTCCTCTGATCAGAAAGCCCGTCTGAAATCTGAACCTTCTTCACCCTTCCCTCTGGTTGGGCCACTCCCTCGGCCATCTGGCTGACAGTGACCATCATCAGGGCCTCAGCGCTGATGTCTCCTCCTCCAGGAAGCCCGCCTTGATTCGCTGCCGACTCCTGAGCTTCCTAAACCCCTGCCTGGGGTCCCGGTCTCAGCCCTGCACACTCTGGGTCATCACGGTCTGGGGACAGGGTCTGTCCCCCTCCCTGGACTCTGACCCCAGGAAGGCAGGACTGTGGCCCCGGCACTGGGCAGCCTTTGGGAACCTGTGTCGGAATACTCGCTGAAGAAAGGGGGTGGCAGGAGGGGCGTATGACCCTCTCTCCACTCTGTCCCCCCCCTCCACCCCCAGCCACACTTCAGCAAGCTGATGCGCAGGAAGTGGCTGAGCAGCACGGAGGCCCTGGACAGCATCGTGGGCACGCTGGGCGCGCAGGCCCTGGCCCTGCGCAGGATGCAGGATGAGCCAAAC